GCATCTCTAATGAGACGTCAGGAGCTGTGCTTACAAAGTCTTGTTTGTAGCTTAAGTTAAAATTCTGTTTTCCAGAAGGCATTTGCTTTGTCTTTAATTACCTATTACTTAAAACAGTCTTTTCAGTTTTCTCCTGTTCTGTAACTACACTGAGGGGGAAAAAGTTGGAATCACTTAAATAATCAACTATAATCCCTTATGATACAAGTGTTAGTTGCTATGGCATTGCTTACAGGCTCAGGTAGCTGTTATAATGTGTACTCATTAGAAGGTGGAACTAGGAGAAGAGAGTGATGACCATCCTCTGATTCAGTATCAAAACTTAACATTGTCATAGTCACAGAATTTATAGAAAGGCTTCCACACTCTCTGATGCTCCACCTTTTTCCTTGAGCATTGTCAGATAGTTACTGCTTGATTTCAGGAATTGATTGCATGATTTCTGACCCTGGGATATTTATTTCTGTTTTACTCCGACGTGAGTGCTGGGTAATACGAGAAGGCTGTTTGACCCTTCTTGCTCGTTTCGTTGTTAATAGCTAATCGATCTGTGGACATCAGGCGAGCCACACTTTTTTCTAGTTTGCTGCTCAGGTCTGATCTCGGGTGACAAATTCTAAGACAAAACCTGAGCATTACTTTGTCCCATGTGAAGTACTGCCAGTAGCTGCCACTGAGGCGGTGCAGAATTCCTCTCACTTTTGTGAATCTGATTCACTTCCCAGGAGAGGTTTTTCCTCCCAGGGCTCCAGTGTTTCTGCATCCCTTTCCCTTTTGTCTTCTGGGCAAAAGCAAGAAGACTACCGACGGACTCCTTTCTGAGCTTTCCGGTTGTTCATTAGGAAGCGTGTTGTTTCTCCCAGAGAACCTGCCGGACCCAGGGAAGGCCCAGGACTTCATGAAGAAGTTTAACCAGGTGCTGGGGGAGGACGAGAAGCTGAGGGCCCAGCTGGAGCTGCTGATCAGCCCCACCTGTTCCTGCAAGCAGGCGGAAGTGTGTGTGGTAAGCGTCTCCCTCCCTGTCCCGGCACACTTTGGAGAAGTAGGGAATAACCGGATGTGTGGGTGGAGCTAGGTCTAGGCTGACTCCGTCTTTGACGCAGTCACAGGCTATGCGTTCCCCGTACTTGAGGTCCGGTGCTGCTTGGACGAGAGTCGCGTCTCTAGATGACGACACCCTAAGCCTGAACATGCCTAAGAACCCCCAGGGGGTTGCTGGGAGCCCCACCAGCCCTGGTCAGCTGTCGCCCTGGGATATTTAATGACCACAGTCAGGACCTCAGTTTTACGTTTCATCCAAAGAATGGCGCCATTTTACAGTATAGTGCCTCCGTCACTATACTGGGGTATTAGGACTCACACAGACTACAGGGTGAGTGCCCCCTACTGGTCCCACTAACACCTCTTCCAGCAGCAACCTTCGCTTTCCCAGGAGGTCTCTCATCCCAGTACTGACCAGGCTCACACCTGCTGGGCTTCAGTGGGCTGCCAGCTGTGAGATGGCTGCTGGCTGAGGAATTGTAGCTCAGAACCTTGTGTGTGTGTGTAAATGCCGCCTAACCGAGTAGAGATTGAACAGGGTTTAAATACCCTCAGTGCACCTGCTAAAGTGAAGCTCTCGCTAAATTCGGGTGCTGTCTCTCAGTCTCTGCGGTGATCAAGGCAGAGTGCTGGTGTGGCTGCCAGCCACTGTACTGCGACACACCCCAGTGGAGAAGAGCGAGGGTGTGAAGCGGAGGGGCAAACGTAATGGTTATAGTATGAGCCAGCTCAGCAAGAGCCTGATGTCCACACAGTCTGTCAGCACGTCCTCCCATTGAGCTGGCCATGATCGCACATGTCATTGAATGTGGTCGATGCAGGATAACAGACACCCACACAAATCCAAAAAGTCTGTCCTAAGTACTTTCCAGAAATGAGTCATTCTTTTCATAATTGAAAATTCATCAGTCGTAATGGTAGTGATATTGTTGATTAAAGTTATTCATTAAGATGAACGTTTTGAAAATGCTGCGTGCCTTTTTAATCCGGTGTATGACGCATCACACGGTTTTTACTAGTTTTGAAGGTGTAAGACTAAAACCTGCTTGGTGTGTTATTTAGTTGGTGCTAAGATTGGTTACATCAAATGTATTTCTTTTAGAGAGAAATATCCCGTAAATTGACGTACCCTAAGCAACCGACCAACCCGTTCCTAGAAATGGTGAAGTTCCTCTTGGAAAGAATCGCACCTGTCCACATCGACTCAGAGGCCATCAGGTAAAGCACAGCAGTCCTTCATCGTACCTGCTCATACCTGTCATGGGCAGAGCAGGGCACAGCCCTTTTAAAATTTACGCACAGAAACCGATTCAGCATGATCACAGACTTGACAGGGCTGCCACATTGGCATAACTCCGAACTCCCTGACAAGAGGAAAGTGTTATTTGTTTTTTAAATAAATGTGAGAATTAAACGGGATCCAAAAGTGGCCATCTCTGAGAAAACCTCAGAGATGGCAAATACAAGGATTAAAACACTTCCGAACAGAAGTTTGGCCCATTTTCTTGTTTGGTTTTTGGAAGCTCTTAGGAACTCGTATAACTATTTTTAAAGAAGCAGTGGTCTCTTCAACAGCACGTCTAGGAAGTTTGTTCCCAAATCCCACAACCCTTTGTTTATGTGCATGCCTCCATGTTTTGGGTTTTAAAAAGCATAGCCTAGCAGTAAATATTTGTATCCTCTGGTGTTTCACTGTCAATTCTAAGTCATTCGTAGAGCTGACTGTGCCATTGCCTTGAGGATTTTGAATACTTGAATTAGGTCCCTTGTAGTCTCTCTACTTTTCTTTTAGTTTTGAAAACTAAAAAGGTCTAACTCTTTTAACCTGTTGGTTATTTCCTTTTATGCCGTTTCCTTTTATCCCAAGAAAGAACCTGTTTGCTCTCCTTTGGACAGATTCCAGAACAGGGATATTTTTTGTTTTCCAATTCCAAGCCGTATTACAGCTAAACTGGTAGGCTTTTTAGGGAGTTAATTACATGATAATGTAAAAGCAAGATCAGACAATATGGAGTGTTAAATCTGTGCAAAAATTAACAGTTATGTGTTTAGGGATTAATCATCTGTTGCAGCACAAAGATTGCCCAAGTAAAGCAGGGAGACGTGCACTGACACCTAGTGTCAGCATGCAGCAAGTGCAGATAGTTCCTCCTTCAGGTTCAGTGCAAGAAATGTGCTTATTTCCTGTTCAGTGGCCCAGTGAGCTTTTTCCCTACTGATTTCTTTTTAAATTTCCCCTTGTGAAAACAACCACTGGGCAAGTGTATTTTAATGCGTGACTTTCATCTTGGGCTGTAGTGCTCTGGTGAAGCTGCTGAATAAATCGATAGAGGGTACTGCGGATGACGAGGAAGAGGGCGTTACTCCTGACACTGCTATTCGGTCTGGACTGGAGCTGCTCAAGGTGAGAATACAGCACAGTTTCCATGCTCTCTCTCCATACCCTTTCTTCCCCTCTGTACTCTTTTATATGCTACTTAAAGGACCTCTCTTCTAAGTTATTTTCCCTCACTGTGTTTTCCTGTATTGCAGGTTCTGTCTTTCACTCATCCCACCTCCTTCCACTCGGCGGAGACATACGAGTCCCTCCTGCAGTGCCTGAAAATGGAAGATGACAAGGTGGCTGAGGCAGCTATCCAGATCTTCAGGAACACGGGACACAAGATCGAGACGGAACTGCAGCATATTCGATCGTGAGGGCGCCCTTCATCCTCCGATCCGAGTGATGTAGTTCATGAAGAAAAATGACAAATGTCTCGGCAGATCAGAAACTAAATTGTCAACCACACAATCCGGAAATTTGTGTGATTGTGGTTTGATGCGAGAAAATTGCATTTTTAGCCCTCAGGTTTTACATTTCAGAAAAGAAGTGACGAACGAGAGGAGAAAAAATGTGACCTGCCTAGATCCATGTGGTTTTTGGTAGCTTATTTGTCCAAGGGTCTGGTCTTTAACATTCCATTTAAATAAATGGCGTGCATGTTTTTTGTAAAATAGTGGATGATTTGGATTTACGTTTATCTTGCAAAGTCAGATGTGCAAAGCCGAGATGAAGTGAGCTCACTGCAGTTATATTTGAAGATGCACATCATGAAGTCAAGGGTGGGATGCCAGGTGCCAGGACTCCTCTCTGACTGCTGTTGGGGAACACGCTGTCTTCCTTTGTCCGCAGAACCCTGATTCCTGTCCTGCACCAGAAGGCCAAGAGAGGCACTCCACACCAGGCCAAGCACGCGGTGCACTGCATACACGCCATCTTCCACAACAAGGAGGTGCAGCTGGCTCAGATCTTTGAGGTAAAGAAATACACTTGGTTTCAGATGGACAGTGGCACAGGCTTTACGCTCCTGGAAGATGAAGGCCATGTCTTTTAACTTTTTGTGGAAGACTTGTAGGAATGTGCAGACGAGCTGTAGTCTGGAGATAAATGAGAAAGGTTGATGGTCTTGATGAAAAGATTCGAAGACCAAATGTTATTGTCTACATGATCAGGAAAGATTTTGTTTCTTTAGGGCCCGTCTTAAGCGTGCCCTGCGTTTGGCATTAGAATAAGGGTGTACACAAATATGTAACTGTTAAGTATATTTGAATAATAAAGTTGATATAACATTTGGATACTTGTGACTTGTTCAACACCAAGTAGCAACGTAAAAGAACTCTTTTCACAGCCTCTGAGCCGGAGCCTCAATGCCGATGTGCCTGAACAGCTGATCACTCCTCTCGTCTCTCTGGGACATATCTCCATGCTGGCCCCCGACCAGTTTGCCTCACCCATGAAGTCCATCGTGGCCAACTTCATCGTCAAGGATCTGCTGATGAATGATCGGGTAAACTCAGACACAGAGCTAACAACTCCCTTGAAAGCAGGCGCCACTGAGACCACAGCTCTGCCCGAAAGACTGTCAGGGTCATGTGGTTTATTTAATCAAGAGTCCTTTAAAAATATTTAAATACTCCTGCTGTCGATTCTTTGCTGATATATATTTTTTTTATTCATAGCTTAATCCTCATGTCCACTGTTTATTACAGCTGTAATTACAGCAGTCAGAGTCAGGCTTAAGGTAGAGGTGTAAATCATTAAGTAGTAATTGGATGACATATTAAAAACAAGAAGAATATCCTAATCGTGTTTATCCTATAAAAAAAGTAGCATATGCTAAATTGAAAACCAGAATTAGGGCACAGGTAGCAGTATATAAGCACACATAAGAAAATACTCATTTGTCCTTGATGTTTAACACAGTCCATAGGTAACAAGAATGGGAAGCTGTGGTCTCCAGATGAAGAGGTTTCCCCAGAGGTGCTTGCAAAGGTGAGGATTGCAACTGGGAATCGCATCACTGTGCTTCTATCTGGGATATTTCTAACCTGGTCATAAGAATTCCAGCAAGAGGGACGTGCAGGACAGAAAAACGTTCTGTCAGACCCTTCTGTCAGCTATCAGGTTTGAAACTGAAGCAGGAAACATTACATTTTTAAAATTGCAGTAGAAACTTCTGCCAGTAGAGAGGCATAGGGTACTGCACTTGCACATCAAATCATCAATGCAGTACTGAGTTGACGTGTTCTTAGTTTAAATAGAGATTTTCCTGGACTTCCAGTTTTAGAAAAGAAGAGCACGTTCTTAAATGTTCCCATAGTGTTCGATTTACTTTTTATCTGAATGCCTCTAAAGAAAACCAAGGTGCTTCTTTCTTGCTACCCCTGAGATTAAAAAATCGCTCTGGTTAAAATGAAGTACAGCGCTCTCTTCTGCGAGTATTCCCATCAAACGTTCACCGTCAACTATCTTACAATCATATGCCTTTCTTATTTTTCTCATCTTACGGACACTTTTGAAGATTTTACAGTCGCAGCTAAAATTAGATCTTTTATTCCCTGTTAATTTGCAGGCAGTTGGCACCCCTTAATTAACATTTTAATAAAAAAAAATACATTCAGAAATATCACGAAAGGCTCTTGTGAATGGGACTGGAAAAGGTTTTTTCTAGTACATTTTCGCATTGAATTTGCGGTGTGGATTTGCTGGAGTGTGCTGTGTGCCGTATTATGGGTAAAAAAGAATAAGACACGGTCAGGATAAGAATTAGGCACAACTTTGTGAGCAGTGCTGTTTAACAGTTTAATTGCCTAGTTATGTCTCCACTAAATTAGAAATTATTTTTGATCATACTTCTGCTGATGTATAAATCTAAAAGTTGTGAATCTAAATGAACGGTCTTCAGATGTAAACAAGCATCATGTAGTAATGGTAATAAGCAAACAAACGTATACAATTCAGTTAAAAATACACTTACATTCAAAAAGGTTGAGTTTAACTATACATAGAAATCATTTTAAATTTTGAAGAGTGTAAAAGATATTGACAGGCTGCACTGATATGATAACTTGTAGTGTTAAAAAAAAGAAGATGGTATTTTATTCTTAAGTGTGGGTATTAAAACTGAACAGGAAAGATAAGGATGAAAATATAAGCATTATAACAACATGTATATGCAGCATCACCATTTATTAAAGGCAAATATTGCAAGGACTAGATCAGTGGTTTGGGGTTACAAAAGATTCACCATATCCTAAATAAGCTCTATGTGAATATTGAGGAAGGGCTTGTTACAAGGAGAGTGCAAATTAAAACCCACTGTGAAGAATGTACTGAAGCTGCTTGTGCTCTATCCTTCCAATGAGGCATCAAACCTCAGCATAACAATTCCTAAATCCAGTCTTCAGCTTTCCACCTGCCTTACCCCAATCCCCTGTGTGGAAACCAGACCAGCCAGCTCTGTGTTTGTCTCCAGACACTGATGTGAGACCTGTCATGTTCAAACTATATTGAGCATCAAAGGAAATGTCTCTTATAACTGTAATAAAGTTACCAGGAAGATGAAAATCGTTTTAAACACACGTGCAAATACATTATTCAAGTTGAACATTCAGCATCAATAGAGCATCATCTGTAAAAGACACAGGCTATTAAAGGTTATACTCATAGTGTGTGCGTGTGCACCATTAGATAACATAAACGCTGACCATCTGTGATACTTGCTTGTCCACAAACTGTTTGTTTCTTCCCTAAACTGCCGTGTTTTGATTTCTAGTATATTTTAATTAATTACAATTCTGTCTTCATTGATTTTACTGTGCCAAACAAAGTTTTACAACACCTTTGAACTTAAACAACACTAAAGAGAAAAGTCGAAGAGAAATTTAAAGTGCTCTGTCCATCTAGCTTCAGATCTGAAAATGTACAGTGTTTATACTTTTTTAAATCTTAAAATGATTGGTGCAAGATGATGAAAACCTTAACACAGATAGTTGACATCAAAAGGTGTGGTTTTAAGAGGGCAGGTCACACTTCTGCTTTGTGGCGTACATTGTGCGAAACTGGTGGGTTACAGTGACACTGCTTGCTCACCTCTGAACAGGTGCAAGCTATCAAGTTGCTGGTGCGCTGGTTACTGGGCATGAAAAATAACCAGTCAAAGTCGGCCAACTCCACGCTGAGGCTGCTGTCGGCGATGCTGGTTAGCGAGGGGGACCTGACAGAGCAGAAGAAGATCAGGTGAGTCTTGACTCCTCATGTGGATCAGTTTTTTACTTACTACACCAAACATCTCATGTCCTCAGACCTTGAAATAAAAGTCATTGTGTTCTGTTAGCTTAACTTCATTTAACTTTGTTTTATTTTTATATGATCACAAACTCAAGAAAACAGTGTTACTGTTGTTAGACTCCTTAATGACAACCACAAACATGTTCTTTTGTTGCAATAAAGAAGGACATACAAAGTTAACAGGTTGACCCCGTCTCTCACCTGCTTTTTCAGTCAGAACAACAGGCTTTTATTCCTCTTGAAGATGAACAAAATGTGCATTCGAAAACATACTGACCAATCATTAAAATGTAACAGTGTGTTGCCTTATGAGGTGTAAACAAGGTCAGAGAGTCAGGCAGTTAGCTCAGGTCAGCCTTGGCAATAAACCAAGACCCCTGTTCTTTTCATGTTGCTAAATCTCAGCGTAGGATACACGAATATCCTCTCCATTCGAGAGATCTTGGCCAGCCAGGAATCTGCAAAACAATAAAACGGTTCTTAAAGACTTCATTGTTAACTCATAATAAGGCATAGCTTCCTTCACTACGATGTGTTAAAGTCTAGGTGCTTTAAAGCAGTTAACATCTGGTTTTGTCATCAAAAAGATAGAAGGCCAGGCAGCTACAAGTAATAGTCATTGTTGACCAAGGAGTGTTTCCCATTCTTTCTCCCCGTGAAACTGCAGTAAGTCAGACATGTCCCGTCTGCGCCTGGCAGCTGGGGGTGCCATCATGAAGCTGGCACAGGAGCCCTGCTACCACGAGATCATCACCCCAGAACAGTTCCAGCTCTGCGGCCTGGTCATCAATGTGAGTCGTTTTCCGTAATTTTACTGGAGTGAAATTGCAGGGCGCTCAGACCTGTGCCCAGAGGGTTGTCCGGAGTAGTGGTACCTATTCTTAACATTGTGTCGACTCTGCTGGCTGCTGCAACCCCAGCTCCAGACAAAGGAGAGTGGGCATCTGTGACCACCATCCTTTCACATGCCCAATTGCCAGAGCTGAGTGCCCTTTGACTTTATCGAGCTCCGCAGAGCTCCACACAGCAGAATTGGTACTATTTGTAATAGCAGGCATGAGTCTCACTGAGATTCCTGCAATCTTATTGGTGCCCAACAGGTCTCAAAGGTTTTTTACACCAAAAGCTGAGGAAGCTCTTTCCAATTTAGGTTAGCCCACCTAACCCAGCCAGGGCTCAATGCCCACTTGACGTTGAATCCCAGGCTTGGACCTGCAACACCTGGGTTATACAGTAGAATCAGCAATCCAAGTCATTGCATTCGTTGGTTGATTGTCTTGGGAGTCCTTATGGTTTTAATTTAGATTTAAAGAAACCTGGATGCCTTTGGACTTTAAATAATTAAACAGAAATTGAAACTACCCAAAAACAAGCAGAAGTGGTCACATTCATGCAAGTGATCTGATGCTTGTACTTAATTTGGCCTTTAACAAAGGGGGCACTTGCAATTTTAGGGCAGTTCCCTTGAAGAACTTGGGGAATCTGCATCACATTGTCTTGAATGGTTTATACCAAACTCGAGAAGCGCGTCCTCTCGCAAAATCTGCAGTGCGTTCAGACATCAGTGCCTTTCCTCTTGATTTCCACTTGTGACTTCTATTGAATTGCCGAGCCTGCTGCTGTCCAGAAGCTGATTGGATGTTATCGTGACTGAGGCTCTTCCTCTGACCCTTCTCTGTAGGATGAGTGTTACCAGGTGAGGCAGATATTTGCACAGAAGCTGCACATGGCGCTGGTGAAGCTGCAGCTCCCCCTGGAGTACATGGCTGTGTTCGCCCTGTGCGCCAAAGACCCCGTGAAAGAACGGCGAGCCCACGCTCGGCAGTGTCTGCTGAAGAACATCAGCATCCGCAGGGAGTACATCAAGCAGAACCCCATGGCTAACGGTGAGAGCGCGCCCCGGCATCGGGCTGCAAATAATCTGAGAAGCACTTTTTTTCCTGAGGAAAAACTGAATTCATAAAGGAAATGCCCATTGTGTCTGGGATAAACAGAGAGCACGTCATCGAGTTCAGATTGGAGTCCCCGTTTCGTTTGTGTGCCACTGAGTCTGTCTGTGTTTGTCGGGGGGTTAAAAATGAATTTTCTTCTGTGAAATGATTGAATGTGTTTTACACCCTCACAGGTCCTTCATGATTCAGAAGGCCAGATTAAAAGATTAATTGCCATTTGTGTATCTCTACTTTTAGTAGTAGTAGTAAAAATAATAATAATCTGTTAACATCAATTAAGGAAAAGCTTTTCTGAAGGCCATGTAGAGCCTTATAGGTGAGCATGAGGGTTTTGAAGTTGACACGAAACCTGACAGGAAGCCAGTGCAAGGACTTCAGGACAGGAGTAATGTCTTGCACGTGACCTGGTTCTTCTCTTATGTCCTGGTGCTTATAATGAGTATTCAGTTAAAAATCCATATTCCTCAGCTCGGCTTCGTTTCCTTATTGCTGCTGCTTCTTTCGTCATTCAGAAATTTAAATTTTCAAACTCTGCCCATTTGTTCATTGGAAATAAAATTTTGCTACAGAAGCGCCTCTGTGTGCATTATGATAATATATCGCTTTCTCTGAATTCCAGTACTTTTTGTCCCCCCTCAGTTTATATTGCACATTTAGGAAAAAACAACGCGCCGTGCTCTCTCTGAAAGTCTCTGTTCTGCTGCCTCCTACACGTTCTTGACATCCCCTGTGTTTTTCTTTCGTTCTAGAAAAGCTGGTGTCTCTCCTGCCAGAATACGTTGTCCCCTACATGATCCACCTCCTGGCCCATGATCCAGACTTCACCAAACCTCAGGACTTTGAGCAGCTGCGCGACATCAAAGAGTAAGCGTCCTGCTAGCCACAGTTCTGTCCCCCCCATCTGCGCTTGCGGGGTTACCCACATCAGGGGGCTGAAATCACATTGCAGCCAATCTTCCCATCAAATCTCCCAGTTTTAGGCACTTTAAACTCTACAGTTTACGCTCTGCTGTCATGTACTAAGTTGACGGACCTATATGTCTTTTTTTTTTGCTTTGAACAACGGCCAGTGTGCCTTTGATTCTGAGAAAGTAGGACTTCTCAGGTGTTGGTATACAAGACACTGTAATCTTAAACTGTAATTTCACCACCTTCCATTAACACCAAATAGTGAGATATCAGAAACGAGAAACGTGTTTATAGTTGGCAGGAGTGCTTCAGTATATATAAGGAATAACTCCGATATAATAATGGCATGAAATCCATGGCAAACCCCTGGAGCCAAGACAACTGGCAGTGTAGTCCACCGGACAGCTGCTTCCTCTGGAAGGTTCAGCTGGATCACGATCTCTGGATCAGGCCAGGGCTGGGGTGTGGGTGGTCCTCAGCTACCTGCCAGCAGCACTGCGAACGCTGGTGTGGTAGGCCGGACGTGGTCTGGCAGCTCAGGCAGTGTTGGTCTAGCGATCCAGTATGTGACAGTAGCGCTCAGTGTTTGCCAGGGCCCAGTGAGTGAAGGGCCCTGAATAAGGCAGTGATGGTGTCACAGCATTTCACCTATGTTTATCCAGCAAGATGTTTTTTCTTTCCTGATACACCCTTGTTTGGGTTTCAATGTGACGCTTCGTCAGATGTCACTATAGACGGAAAAAAGTCAGCGTTCTGAACTCTCTGCTTCGCAGGTGCCTGTGGTTCATGCTGGAAGTTTTAATGACCAAGAATGAAAACAACAGCCACGCCTTCCTGAGGAAGATGGTGGAGAACATAAAGCAGACCAAGGACGCCCAGGCGCCGGACGACCCCAAAACCAACGAGGTGAGTCGCTGGAGCCTCACAGAGCACTTGGACTGGTCTCTGGATTTAGATCTTCAGACTTGGACATTATTTTTCACTCCCGGCAAGAAAAGGAGCTGCTGTTTCCAGGTTTCATTTTGTTGTTTGTTGGACATTACAGACTGTGCATAAATACAGTTCCTTCCAAAAGTATTCCCCCCTTTCTAGTTTGTTGAGTTACAAATGATATTAACTTTTTTTTAAGTATATATTTTTATTTAAAACCTGAATGTGAAACCTGAACACTTTTATGAGTGAAAAATTAAATATGTGCAAGTATTGCAAAGGAAAATCTAAAAACAATGCAGGTTAATCTTGTTTGCCAAAGCGGACCTAAATTAGTTCAGGTGCACAAAATAACTTTGACAGTTACACAATTAGTTGAATGTCTACTATGTGTCATAGTAGTTCACTGATGTCAGAGTTGTTGTTTTAAGGGTAAGTACTAACACTTTACACTCTGGTGTTTTTATTCTTTTGTGTTACAGAAGCTCTATGTTGTCTGTGATATCGCACTGTTTGTCATCGTTAACAAAAGCACAGCTTGCCATTTGGATTCGCCGAAAGATCCCGTATTACCTACAAAATTTTTCACCCCACCAGATAAAGTAAGTCTTTTCTCACACCGCCCCTCACATTCGGAAAAGACACTCGAGTTTGAGAGCACAAGTGTCTATTTGTAATGAGTAAATCCGTGATGCCTGTTTTGGTTGTAGGACTTTGTCAATGACAAGGATTATCTGTCATTAGAAGCCAGGACGGTCCTTTTAACAGGAAAGGTAAGAATCCATGCCTACGGGTAACTTCTGTATTTACAATGTGCTTGACGCACTCTGGGCAGGCGAAGTGACGATTACTGCCGAACTGTCCTGTGAGGCAGGAGGTCGGAGAATCACCAAGTTTCTTTTCTTATTGATTTTTGGCAATTATTTATTTTTGGGATCCTTGATTTTTGAAGCAGGGAAATATTCAAAATTGCACCTGTAGAGCAGCTGTATTTGCTGTGCTTTAATTAGTATACTTGGTCTTCTTCAAGAATCAGATGAGCTGCTGTGTCTGTATTGGCACTCACGGGGCTGGGAGTCTCTGCTAGCAGGTGGTATTGCGGTTCCACCCGGACAGTGCGGAAAAGGCTTTTGGGAATGCGTAGCCCACTTTCGTGCCCTATCCTCCTGTAGCCCAAGCCGGCTGGCGTCCTCGGCACCGTGAACAAGCCGCTGTCCGTGGCCGGGAAGAGGCCGTACACCAGGACGGGCGGCTCAGAAACGGGCAGCAACGTCAGCGGGAACTCGGAGCCCAGCTCCCCAGCCGGAAACAAGGGAAGGTGAGGACTTCAGGGCCGCCCCGGCGCTCGGTCTCCCCTCCGCAGCTCTCCAGCTTGTCCCCGGTGGCCCCCCCCGCCGCTCGGCTCTGACGACGGCCTTCCTTGTGTTTTTTTTTAAAGGGAGCCCGGCGCAGAGGCGTCCGAGACAGGAGCCTGCGAGAACGAGGAGAACCCGGTGATCCTGATCTCGGTCACACCCGGAAAAGCTGAACCCGTGAAAAAGGTAAGGGGCTGCCGCGCTTTCTCGCCGGATTGAGCACAGTCCATCTACTTTGACACAAACGCATCTGTGGGGAGAGCTAGACTGCCGATCAGGACGGCACGAGAGTTTGTAGAGGAGTTCATTGCCGTGTGGACGTGTACATTGGAATTCTTATTCGCTCTCGGGACGTGCGCAGTACAGCAGACGACACCACCCAATGTAGGCAGTACATAAATAGCAACAACCAGAACAATAAAGATGTTGTAGAGAACAATATATATTTGGTAGTGGGGGAAAAAAGAAACATGGTAGTCCAAGTCAAAAAGTGCATAGTGCCAAAGTGCATTGAGTTCAGAGACATTGCACAGTTAGCCGTTCAGGATGCGTGCTGCCGTAGGGCAGGAGCTGTTCTTAAGCCTAGTGATCCGGGCCTTAATAGTGCGCTTCCGCTTGCCAGAGCGAACAGGGTGAACAGGCCCGGGATCCTGAATGATGGATTGGGCTTTATTGCGACGGTGGATGGTGTGAATCTCGCTCTCACCCTCACCCTCTGTAGCACGTCTTTGTCCCGCGAGGTAGTTAATGCGCACGTGTAGTTTCTGTTCAATTTTGCCTCTCCACTGCACGAACTGAGGAGTGTAGCCAACGCCAGACTTCTGGCTTCGCTTTGCTTTGAACCGGGGAAGGGGATGGTACAGAAAGCGCAGATCGAGTGCTGGCGATGGCTGGAGTAACCCGGGCGCGGTGTCCGCGCCGAGAGATCCGCCGGGCGATTCTCATGGGCGCTCCCTCCCCTCGCCGCAGGAGACCAACTCGGAGCAGGCGGCGCCCGGCAACGCCAGCGCGGAGCGAGGCAAGAAGCGCGCCGCCCCCCCCGCCGACGGGGCGGAGAACATGCACCAGAGCGCCGAGGGGAGAGCCTCGGACGAGGCCGGGGCCCCCGCCGTCCCCAAACCCCGGCGGGGGCGCCCCCCGAAGACGCAGCCCGCCGGCGGCGGCGGCGGCGGCGCGGAGAAGGGCGCGGAGGCCAAGAGCGGCGGCCGGGGCCGGAAGAGAACGGCGGCGTCCCAGGACAGCCCAGGGGTGGTGGAGCCCATCACCATCAAAATACCAAAACAGCAGAAAGACGCCGAGGTCAAGAGGGCGGCGCCACAGAGACAGATGGATTTGCAAAGGTAGGGGGCGCCGCAGGCTGCCAGGCAGGGCTGTGTCCGATCGGTCCCTTCCTGAAGTTCAGGCACGTCCTCTGTGTCGAGGGAATCAAATCGGACCTTAGAGCAGGACTGTAGATCACAAAGGCAATGGACTTAGACCATCGCATTCTTTGATTAGAAGGTACTAAATATAATCTAGAAGGGACTCATTGGTATACACGAATTTTTACTTGTTGTGTTGCAATTCTGTGATTTTCTTCTGCAGTTGCTGTGTAGAGCTCAGCAGCGCACCACTGCAGTGCCTTTAATATATTCCTACACTTCCGGCTCTGCTGTTTGAATTTCTGTACTCCCTTTCAGCAGTTCACTCCCCTTCCGAAATCACGTCCCCAGGTTTTCTTTGGAAATGAGATTTTATTCTTGGTTTGGAGATGCAGGTTTGCCGACTCAGTCCCTGGCCTCTGCCGTGAACGGGTCGCAGGCAGCGAGGTCCAGTGAATGAGAGTGCGAGACCAGCCTGCGGCTCGCCGTCTGAATTGAGATGGAGATTGACAGGCAGTGCTTGAATCTTTCAGCAGCGAGGTTCTGGGGAGCGATGGCAATTCCCTGTGGGACGTAGAGTCCAGTCCAGACAGCCTGGGGAAGGAGAGGAATGTGTTTAGGAGCAAGAGCAGCTTGGAGGAGCTTGAGAAAGCAGACAGACGCCAGGGAGCCCCACTTAAGGTGCCGCAGTGAGCAGGGACAGCGAAGCAGAGGGACAAAACACTTCTCCACACGCAGACACCTTTTCATGACTTCAGTTTAGAATTCCCCGTTTTTTGTTACACCTGCCCGATCTTGAATCGCCAGCCGTATGTTTGTGCCAGCTCATGGCTGAGAACCCTGTGACCACACGGGGGAGGAGGTGGAGGCGGACCACTCTGACAGTCAGGGTTTCGCACGCCAGAGGGCAGCACCGATTGGAGGAGAGGCGCGTCTCTCACTCTTCAGCTCCCCCGCCCGCCAGCTGACGAGTCTCGCCCGGCCCTCAACAGTGCCCGGCCAGTCGTGTACTGCTGCTGGGGGAGTCCCAGTCACAGCTGGCTAGTGGCGTCATCCGGGCTCGAACCTGCAACCCCTGCCCGCGGGTGAACATCTTTCCCAGTTGAGCCACTTAGGAGGTGCTCTTTAAAGAGCTACTGTTTGTGCTACTACTTAGTCGCGTTCTTTTTATCACCTGTTGCTTTTACACTGACACTCGGGACAAATATCAGTTTGAGTGTCACAGATTTGTTTTCTTGGTTATTTTTTTATTTTTTACAGACATTGTAAAATCATTTTAGAACAGTTTTTCCCCACCTCACCCTGACTGTTTGGGAAAACATTGAAGCACCTGCTAGAATAAAAATAATCAAATATTTTTCCGAAAAAAACATCAGCCTACACGTAACTGTTTTCCGCTCTCCACACGAAGGCAAGATTAAGTTTTAATCTATAAACTCATTTTTTTAAATAATTTGGAAGCAGAGCTGTAAAAATGTTGCCTACGTTTTGCATTGTTGAATATTTGATTAGTGGGTGTAGAGTTGTAGTTGTAGGGGTAGTTCTGTTCAATATTATCTGCTGATCAGAGGTTGAGCAGATTCTCCAGGCTCCATCAGGTGTGGCGTAGCCTGGACCAGAGTTTAAGCCAAGCGTGGGTTCAATTTTCCTCCAGTTATTTGGGCAGGTGGTTGAGGCCTTGAACTGCAGTGAATTATGCAGGAGTTGTACCATCCTGTAGATATTATATAGCTACCCCATTCCCATAAGAATCAGAATTGCCTATCAAATTATACGAAACAAGGAAGGTAATTGTTTCTCTTTGGTTTCAGGTAAAAAGAAAAGGTTTCCGAAGACAAAAAAGTTGAATGCCTGGTTCAGGACTTCAGGATTAGCCACCACTGTACAGAAACTGAACTTGACTGTAAAGCTCTTCGCCCTGAAAAAGACGAGACGCGGCACTGCTTCCAAACGCTGTTTTTGAAGCAAGCTTTCTCCTCAGCGATAAAACAGTTCAAGCTCTTTGAACGGTGGTCTGTTCACCCCTTTCTGCTTCACTGAGACTTCTTTTTACAACTTTTTTCAGAAATCGGTTCAGATTCCCGCAATGAGTTGATTTCCAAGGCTGATGTCTTCTCTTCTGGTTGTCATGGCCTTTTTTATGTTTGCTGAAAGCAATTTTTTTTTTTTTTTTTGTTTTGAACCGGAGTCGCCACATTGACTTTAAAAAGAAATTTAAGCCAAATAGTCTCACTGCCTGCTGCTGCAGATGAATTTTTTTAAGTTTTAGCCTGAGCACTGTTGGGTAGAGAATGGCTCGCTCTGGATGTTCAGTAAACACCTGAGCATTCCCAAAGGAGTGCGCCCATGGGACGATCGAGCCATTTCTTTTCAAAGCAGATCGTTTCTAGATTTTACAGATCTGTTCAGATTTTACCATTCCCTTCAGATTTTGTCTGAGTTGTTTTTTGCAGATTTTAGTTCTCGCCTACATTGTGAACCACGATAAAACATTGTAAAGCTCTAGCAGGTAACCTGGTTCTTTTACAGAGGCCTTTTATTTTTAACTTGGGGCAGATTTTACATTTTTGTAACGGAATGAAAGAGGAGAGTGTGCACAAAAAGTAACATTTTGGGGGGTAATATGAATTACCACATAAAATGATGCTTACACAAAAGTTTTAAATAAAACAAACCTGGGTTTTAGATGCCTGCAAAAAAATAAAACAGTTGAAAACTGTTGGTAAATTTTGAGTGTTTTTAGAGATTGAAAATATTTTTCAACATGTTTTGCCAGTTTGTCTCCCTGTTTCCAGCAGTTTGTTTTATTTTAGTGAAATACTTATAATGTTGCATTGATTATTATGATTCCAGGCATTGTTTTGGGGATAGCTGTGTACAGATTATGTACACATGACCATATTTAATTTTTTTGCATATAATAAATGCTTTTAGGTGTCACGTTGTGAGTTCATGACTTTTCTAATTCCACTCTTGCAAATCAGCATGTTAGTACTGTGATGAAATTATACTGCTTCCGTCACATCTCTCTGGGAATTGAAGGTGCTGGTGTGAGAAATAATGTAAAGAGATTCTCCATCCCAAATATAGCAGAGTTTCCAACCAAGAAGAAAGCATTTGGCTAATCCAGCCTGTTTAAGCAGTTTATTGATCCAAAACTCTCACCCAGTTTCTTGAAAGAAACCAGGGTATTCTCTTCAACAACATGACCGGGTCGTTTATGCCACTGAGCAAGGACGTGTCTCCTGCTCTCAGTTTTAAATTTGCTTCCACACAGTTTCCACTTGTGTCCTCCGGTGAGTGTTTCCCTGTAGCCGTTCATTGACATCTCCCTCTAAAGGTTTACTTGCATGGGACAGTGGGTATAGTGCTACTGCTTTGTTATTCCTGTATACATGCTCATAAAATGTGTTCCTTTTGTTCAGAAGATTGATAGTAAAGTAGACTGACAGTATTATCTCATGGGCAGTATCACTTCTCAGTGCTCAGATCACTTGAGGGGAATTGCAGCACTAACGATGACCGTGTGTAAGGCATTATGTGCATGCAGTATTTAACAGACCACCAGCTGGCTTTGTTAAGGTGCTGCATGTAACTTCCTTGTTTTACTGCTTAGTCTTGGTTGGCCTGTGAAACTGACAGGGAGGTGGGATAGAGGGAGACTGCTTTACTCTGGCGCAGAGCAGGCTGGAAAGCTGAGGTGCACTTGCTAGGCAGAACACGAGTAAGTAAGAGCACTTTGTAATACTTGCGCATAATCTTGAGAAGCTGCACTGCTGACTGACATTTTGCTTTTTTCACTCCTAAGTGGTCTGAGCATTCAAGTTTTGATTACAAATATATATATATGTACTTTTCACATTCCACAAAATGGCATATCTGGAAGGGGGTGGATAATAAGGCACTGTACATGCTCCCTGTGTTTAGAGAGACTCCTGGTGTTGTCCAGTGAAGATATAGTATGTCCTTGTTACTTCTGAGCATCAGGAGTGAGAGTCCCAGTGTCACTTTGCTTATTGTTGTGATTTAAACTCAATTCTGTTCACATACAGCTGCTACTTCATGATTTATGACACTTGTACCCATCGTGACACGCTTCCTTTTACTGTTTCTGTGGTCAGCAACACCACCTGAAAGGTCTTAACCATGGCAAGTCGACAGCCTGCATAAATAAGTTCAAAGGAGGTTCGATGCAGCATAAAGGATCCATCTGCTTGTTGGTCCTAATGCACAAAGGTTTTGCAGTAACGCTAAATCGCTGCAAATGAGGAGTGAGCTGGCTGGTAGGCCTTCATCAGACGTGAGTCTTGTGAAAACCCAAGATCGTCCTCACTCTCGAGTCGCACCGCAGCACTGCTGGTGTTGGGGTGTTTGTCGGTGCTTCACGGACAGGTAAAGGGTGATGATGGGTGGGAAGAGGCCATCAGCTTGGACCTGGCCTTTCCAGTGACTGACAAGTGTCGAAAGGAAAGGGTGCCTCTTGGTTGTAGGTTCTTGGCTCTTCAGATGGGTTTGCCTCCAACAATATAATTAAGTATTCTACTGGCGTGGATCACAACCCACATGCCTTTGTATCTGTCGGTATGTGGAAATTGAGCTGGATGGTTTCTGATTTGCTTTATAATAATAA